TTCTGGCTAAAGTAACAATCACCAAGTTTTGTTGATGCTGGGAGATGTGTACATAAGGATTCATTGTACTCTCTGATTTTGTGTCAGGAAATTTTCATGATAAAAGTTGTTTTTTTGGTTTTTTTTCTTAGTCACTGGTTAATACCATGTTCCTGGGATCTGAACCAAATCTGAGGTGCTAGGATTATACATTCAGATATAGATAGAAAACATATTTGTGATGTCTGGATCCTCCAAAAAGAAAAGTTGTTAATACTGGTAGGATGTCTCACTGAAAATTAGGTATTACCTTTCTTCTGCAGAGCAGAACAGAGGGAGAAATATATTGTTAGTGCCTCCTGGATACTTTATGTAGGTCATCTCAAAAAGCCAAGAAGTTCCTGCCCAAATGATCTCTAAGCATGGAAAATGTGCCTCTACACACATGCCGATGCAAAACGCTTTTGGTAAAGGATGAATCATTTTACAATAATTCCCAAAAAAGTTATTTATTATTTTAATTCAGAAATGGAAAGCCTGTGCTTTCAGGGGCTAACCTTCTTATAAGCATAAATGAGTAGTAAATTTTGGCTAAATTTAATCCAATTATGTATATCTGCCATGCCGTTACATGAAAGGAACATGTCTAACTACATTTTAAAAGACATACTGCAGCATACAAAAAATTTTTTTAAAAAAGGATTCTTACTACTTCAGTTAACATAGATCCCACTACTACCACCGGTCTTGGAAAACACACACAAAAAAAGTCTTCCTATTCCTAATAGTCATGCCAAGCTAGTCATCCAGTTCAGGTTTCTGGAGCACCAGTGCTCTATTACTATAAACCAGTAAATCATCATAAAGCACCCACACACACACACACCCAGGTGTGTTACTGACAACATTTACAGACCGATAGTTCGTCAAGGAGGAGTCCCTGAATGGTGCAAATGGTTAAGTGCTCCACTACTAGCAGAAGGTATGGTTCGAACCCACCCGGAGGCACCTCGAAAAACAGGCCTGGCGATCTGCTTCCAAAAGGTCTCAGCCTTGAAAACCCTATGGAGTAGTTCTACTCTGAATATACCGGGTGACCATGTGTTAGAATCGACACAACAGCAGCTAACAACAGTTCATCATCAAGAGGAAGATGATTATTATATTTTTAAAAGGGTTAGTCAAAGTTGCATTTATTTGTCTTACAGAAGGAACCTGAGAATTGAAAAAGTTTACTAGTTTAGTCAAAGTAACCTGAAGAAAAAGGAAACAAAATATAGCTACAAGGAAGAGAAATGTATATACATAAAACAATATAAGAACAGTTATAAAGCACCACCAAAGAATGGAAATTTGAATTAAAATTTATTTATAATCTTACAGCCTCTTACAGACACAGTTGTGAAACAATATATTAATTCTCTTTGTCCCTACATGTGTTGCTTTATATGGGGTGTGAAATTGTTATTGAATGGAGTAACATCCAAGTGACCGAAAGTTCTCAACTCAGTTTACTAAATAAATAGGCTTATTGTAGCTTCCTATTTTCCTTTTTAAGGTATTAAAACCATATTGCCTCTATAAAATTTAAGTCCTATCCTTAGCTTTGTTGATTTTACTGGCCTATATGTTACAAGACCATCTTTGTAATATGGTTAAATTTCCTTGGGAAAGTCTCTCAAAAATTTAGCTTAGGGGTTTTATAACAATAAAATGAAAAGTACTTTGGTGTCTCTTGAAATAGCAGTTCTTTCTAAGTGATCATTTAATTTGTGTATAATGTATTATGTTCATTAAATTTAAAGTGATATTAAATAAAACTATTGCTTAAAGCCTTGCACAATCCTTTCAAATCACATTAATATTAAACCAGAGGATTTTTTCTTTTGTTAGATTTAAAAAAAAATTTTATTGTACTTTAGATGAAGGTTTACAGAACAAATAGTTTCTCATTAAACAGTTAGTACACATATTGTTTTATGACTTTGGTTAACAACCCCAGCACATGTCAACACTTTCTCTTCTCGACCTTGGGTTCCCTATTACCAGCTTTCCTGTCCCCTCCTGCCTTCTAGTCCTTGTCCTGGACTGTTGTGCCCCATTAGTCTCGTTTTGTTTT